AAAGGGACCTTTACTTTTTTTAAAGTGCTGCAATCTTCTCCCATTGATTACAATAGAAGGATCTCTCAGAGCAGTGCACAATTACTTGCATTTGCAAGAACTCATCTGTGTGCATGCTGTAAATGCATGTTGTTTTTTTGTCAGCCGTTTTGTTTTGACCAGCTTGGAAAGGTCATAACCTCTATACCTCAGGAGATAATAGTCTTGACTCTACAGCCTGGAGAAGGCTGAATTAGTCACTTCCCGTTGTGACACAGCCCTCTAAATGCCTGTGTTTGGTCATTTCCTCAGTTACCTGCTCTTGAATGCTAATTTGATGTTACATTTTTCTGTAAGTCTCAGTGTTAGAGGTCATGGGGTCGCTGCATGAGTCGCCCAACACATATTGTTTTTTTTTTTAGGTGCCGGGTAATGTATTTCCATTCACTTTGCTCATGTTTATTTATTACCCCTTTTACATATCTTCATGTATTTCAAAGACAATTTAGATAAACAAGTTTTCAAAACATGTATTAAGTACCTATGTAAAATGAGTTTTTTTTTTAAAGGATTTTTTCGAGTATTTGTACGGATTAGTTGCCCATTTTTTAGTATTCACAGGGCGAAAGGGTTAACAAGCTTCAGCATAGGATTTTCTGAGTGGCTGACCATTGTGCTAATGTGGGCTTTGCAAACAAACCTCAAAACACGTCTGTCCTTTGTTCAGCCTGTTAAGAAAGGAGTACTGATCTAATGAGTCATTACTAAAAGCTGCATGGAACTTAACATTCTAACACTTTCCCCCACCCCCTTGTCTGTCAACTCCAAAGATCAGGGATGTGATCACAAGAAGAAGAAGAAGAAGAAGGAAGTAGTTCGTCTCATTTTGAAATTTTACTAGGCAACAGTCTGTTGAACCAACTTGATATGATTTTAAATTGCAGTGACATTACAACAGGCACTGTATAGACACATATTCTTCTAGTTTTTCCATGTATATCAGAGAGGTTGTAGGATATTCTTAAGTTCCATGAATCAAGCTTATTCTACTTATCTACTTGTACTTAAGTAAAAGGCTGTCTACTTAGGTAAAAGCCTATCTACTTAGATAAGAGGCTGTCTACTTAGGTAAGAGGCTGTCTACTTAGATAAGAGGCTGTCTACTTAGATAAGAGGCTGTCTACTTAGATAAGAGGCTGTCTACTTAGATAAGAGGCTGTCTACTTAGATAAGACGCTGTCTACTTAGATAAGAGGCTGTCTACTTAGATAAGAGGCTATTTACTTAGGTTAGTGGCTATCTACTTAGGTAAGAGGTTGTCAACTTATGTCAGAGGCTGTCTACTTAGGTCAGAGGCTATCTACTTAGGTCAAAGGCTGTCTACTTAAGTAAGAGGCTGTCTACTTAGGTGAGAGGCTGTCTGCTTAGGTAAGAGGCTTTCTACTTGGGTAAGAGGCTGTCTGCTTAGGTAAGAGGCTGTCTACTTAGGTAAGAGGCAGCCTACTTAGGTAAAAGGCTGTCTACTCAGGTAAGAGGTTGTCTGCTTAGGTAAGAAACTTTCTACTTAGGTAAGAGGCTTTCTACTTAGGTAAGAGGCTGTCTACTTAGGTAAGAGGCTGTCTACTTAGGTAAGAGGCTGTCTACTTAGGTCAGAGGCTGTCTACTTAGGTCAGAGGCTGTCTACTTAGGTCAGAGGCTGTCTACTTAGGTCAAAGGCTGTCTACTTAGGTCAGAGGCTGTCTACTTAGGTAAGAAGCTGTCTGCTTAGGTAAGAGGCTGTCTGCTTAGGTAATAGGCTTTCTACCTAGGTAAGAGGCTGTCTACTTAGGTTAGAGCCTTTCTACTTAGGTAAGAGGCTGCCTACTTAGGTAAGAGGCTGTCTACCTAGGTAAGAGGCTGTCTACCTAGGTAAGAGACTGTCTACTGAGGTAAGAGGCTGTCTACCTAGGTAAGAGACTGTCTACTGAGGTAAGAGGCTGTCTACTGAGGTAAGAGACTGTCTACTGAGGTAAGAGACTGTCTACTGAGGTAAGAGACTGTCTACTGAGGTAAGAGGCTGTCTACTGAGGTAAGAGGCTGTCTACTGAGGTAAGAGACTGTCTACTGAGGTAAGAGACTGTCTACTGAGGTGAGAGACTGTCTACTGAGGTAAGAGGCTGTCTACTTAGGTAAAAGGCAGATAACATTTTTCCACCCATTGTTACCACCCGTTGCTGTTTCCGCCCGTTGTTTCCACCTTTGGTAAACAAATACTAGTTTGTATCACATGACCAAAATTTTTTTTTTTTTTTAGTCATTAAGTCATTATGATGTCTTAATTCTGCCAAACTGGCATCTCACACAAAATCTTCGACTGAAAGGATATTAAGAACACATATAAAGATGTATTTAATTCATGTCAGCGTGGATGCATTGTTTGTTTGTTTTATACTATACATATTACTATATCTAATGACTTAAATATAATAAAATTGTATTTATTCATGTGTAATATTTTTTAGAGAATATTAATAAAATTATATTTATTCCTGTATAATTTTTTCCAAAATATATTATTGTTCGAGTTATTAACATTGTCTATAAAAAAAAAAAAACTGTCTGTGCAATTGTAGGATCATGTCTGATGGTTTCGGAATCGTGTATGATTGTGATGATGACTTGATGTCACTACACTTGAGATATACCCCCAAGTGCTTGGTCTCATCCAGCAGAAGGTAAAGAATTTGGATACTGAACATGCTTCGTCTAGGTTTAACTCTTTCGGCTCCAAGCAACTCGCTACATATTTGTTAGCTTCTACTGACATGATCTCTTCTTTTTTTTCTACTCCTAGAATGTTTGGAACATTCGGACGGCAGGCAAGGGAAATTATTTATGTGACAGGAAATGCCTGGAACAGGACAACTCGTGCAAAATAATAAAATATTGAGAGATAACTCATGCAGACTAATTATTTAAGAGTAATGACTAATCTGAGCTGGGGTGGTCTAGCTGTTAGACACTCTCTGCTGGCCTGAGGATCATGGGTGCAAATCCACATTGAGCTGGAATTTTATTTTTTTAAATGACTTTGGCTCCCAGGTCCACCCGGCCTAAATGGGCACCAGGTAAATTCTTTAGAATTAAAGGTGGCCGTCTTGATGTTGACCACATCTTCCATCAAATACTGAGGGGGCTGCGTGGTCTCGAGGCATGTTGTCAGCCTCGAGTGCTAGAGGTTGCGGATTCAGTCCCTGGGATTTTTTCTCGTGGACTTGGACTTCTAGTTATTTCCCCTGGTCTCTAGGTAGTGAGATCGGACACCTGTGTGCATTGTTGCGCATGTAAAAAAATCCCTAGGCAGTTGGAAATCCAAAAGAGTAGCCTAACGTCGCTGCCTTAGCAAAATTTGGAGTTAAAATCTACCCATTGTATTTCAGGATCTTCGCCGGTGCTACAGTGCCTGTGCACTGTGCTGAGTTAGAAGAAGAACGGAGCACTTATGGGTTACTACCTGTGTGCCATGATGTTGATACATTGTTCAAAACCAAACCAAATCAATCCATCAAATACTGATTGGCCACTAAAAATCTGAGTCTAACATCACATGCCTAATGTGCCACTGTCATAAAAAGGGCCATTTACCCCAAGACGATGAAAGCAGCTATGGTGTAGCGGCTAGACGCTTGTGGGTTCCGGATCTGATGGAGACAGATTTTTTTTTTAAATGACCCAGGTTGATCCAGCCTTGCTTGGATTCCAGGTTTGGTCCTGGGAAGTAAAGGCGGCTGGAGTCATGTTGACCACATAACCCACCGAGTGCTGATTGGTCTATAAAATATAGGTCGTCCTATATGCCTGAAGGCATGACAAAAGGTCCTTTACTTTACCTTTTAACCACCAGAAAATGACTAATTGGTTATGTACGTGACTTCTCTAGGAGACTGTCATCATTGTTGTTATGTTTAAATGCAAATATACAATCATCCCTCAACTGCCATTCTGCCTTTGGTCAAAACAAGAATTTATAGCAGAAAGATTCACATATAAATGGAAATGTTTCATGTACATTTTTTTTATTTTATTTTATTTCACAAGAAGTCTACTCAAATATAAATTGTTCCCTATAGTTGAGTGTACAGTGATGTATATTAATTATCACAAAGTGTCTCCTGGCTTCTGATGGGCATATGAAATATGGCATCCAGTGACTCTACTGCAGCAGTTATTGTGTCCTAGTGTCCCCTACGTGTTTGTGTGTGCCTGGTTGGTCACAGGCAATATTGTCTTTGCATTCAAATGACTCTACTGCAGGTTATTGTGAGTTAGTGTTTCCTACTTTTGTGTGTGCCTTGTTGGTCACAGGAAATATTGTCTTGGCATCCAAATGACTCTACTGCAGCAGTTTTTGTGAGTTAGTTTTCCATACTTTAGTGTGTGCCTGGTTGGTCACAGGAAATATTGTCTTTGCATCCAGATGACTCTACTGCAGCAGTTTTTGTGAGTTAGTTTTCCATACTTTTAGTGTGTGCCTGGTTGGTCACAGGAAATATTGTCTTTGCATCCAGATGACTCTATTGCAGCAGTTTTTGTGTATTAGTCTCTTCCACACAGGACTATAGAAAACATCACTTGATGTCGCTGTCATGGTTACACTAATTATATCTTTTTTGGACGTTAAACGGTTGCATCTGGATTTTGTACTGTCAGACCGCCATAGGGCCCAGTAGAGAAGAAGAAGGCACACCATGAAGGATCTAAATACAGACATTTGCTGATTGGTCAAGCCTCAAACATGCAACCATCAAATCCATTGCATCTGACCGACAGAGGTGGAGGGAGCTGATCAGATGGTCAACAGCAGCTGGTGATCCAATGACTGGTGGTGTTATGGTGACTACAGTGATTATCGGGATGATGGTGTAGCATCCAGGATGTGACTCTTGAAGTTGCAGGGGTGATCAAATCATCAGATAGCTGTCCAAAGAGAGAAAACAGACAACAGGTGGACTATACTGTGTTAGTGTGTCCTATTGCAGTAGTTATTCTGTGTTACTGTCCCCTACTGCAGTGGGGATCTCCTCAGGTGATTTATCAGCTTCCTCGGGTGGTTTATTTCCTGCGTCAGGTGGTTTATTACCTGTCTCAGATGGTTTATTACCTGTCTCAGGTGGTTTATTACCTGTCTCAGGTGGTTTATTACCTGTCTCAGGTGGTTTACTGTCATTCACTTCTGTCGTCGAATTTGCAGGTGAGGCAGGTGCCTCTTGTAAAATGAGTGTGTCTAGAGCGGCCTCTGCTTCCTCGAGTTTCCACGGAAACAATGATCCTTTGGGATCTAAGGCTATCATTTCTCGACCATTAAGTGTGATAACCTCACAAGAGTTTGCATCTATAACTATCAGCACTGGGATTCCCTTGATATCAAAGTGTTCAGCGACTTCCACCTGTAAGCAAATAGTTTGTACTATGATGAAAAAATATTTAAACTATGGGTAAAACTAACGTTGGTCTCCCCAAACAAAGTCGGTCACGTTTCATTCACAAGTTTGTTGGGCTGGTCTACTTTCCTGCAGGTTACGGGTGTGCCACACTGTTGTTTACTTTCTGGGTTGTCTTGCATTTACGTGTGTGTTTTTCAGAGAAACAGAATCCCTGTGACGTAGGTTGCAGCACACTCTGGGGCGTTGTGTTAGACCCAGCTTGTTCATGTTTTTAGAGTGTTAAAAGTGCTGGTGTGCTCAAATATACAACACCCGATATCAGCGGCATTGTGTGTATTTGGGTGGTCCGTGGGAAGACCAACGTTAGTTTTATCAAACTATGAAATATGCATATTCATTTCCATATTATTATTGACACTAGCTATAAAGTAAAAAGTATCTACATCATTTCACCAAGTTTAATTCTGTATGGTTGTCTCTCTCCTTATAATACCTATGAAGAGTGTTGCATAAAGCGCAGACTCTGCAATGCCAGCAATAATGTCCAGGAATCTCTGTGAATACAAATGTACGCACCTGCAACCAGTGTTTCATACTCATAGGATTTAATGCTTTCTTTAAATTAAATTTTTTTTTTTAAATTCATCTTCTTTTTCATTAAATTACTTTTTACGTTATTATAATAAAAACATTAGATTGTAATAGGGTGTTTGTAAAGTCTGACTAAACTTTGTAAGCAAAACAAATTTTAAAAACTCAAGAAGATGCCATTATTTAAAAAACATGCTTAAAAAGTTATTAAATTAGCTAAAATAGTCACTGCTATGATCTAATGATGTTTTGGGGATGCTGGAGAATACCAGTGAAATAGTCATGATAACAACCGTTGGAAATATCTACCATGGACATCTCTTCATATTGTCAAATACCTTTTGCAGTATATTTGTTGTTATTTTTTGGTTGGTAATTCTGATTGCTTCTTTCAGGTCCTCAATTGTGTGTACATTAGTTTCTTAAACATTTCCTTTCAAAACCCAATCTGTATTAATAAAAATGTTAATTTTCCGATGTCGTTAGCTCTAAACTCTGAAACTACTAAACCGATTGCTTTCAAATTTTCACACAACGTTGCCTCTGACTCAAAGCGTTATTTTTTGTCATAAAATCGCACAAACCACGAATGATGTAGCTCCAACAACGGTCAAATCAATATTTGTTTCGTTGCCCGCCCGGATTTATTCCTAATCAATTGGCCACCTTTGACTGTGCAACACCGACCTTCACATTATTATTATATACTTTCATTTCTACTAAATGCTTGAGTATTTAGTAGCATAGTTGGTTGTAAGCATTTTGTTTTTTACTCAGGTGATAGGGGTTTGATTCCCAGCTGTTTTTTTGGGGGCCCTAACTGGGTGGCTGCCACGTTTTGTTGTGGTTTATAGCTAGGCTGCAGTATCTACGCTTTTTTTCCGTTCGGTTTTAGGGTTAACAGCTAGCCTGCGATAGCGGCGATGTGATGCTCAATGTTCATGTCACGGGTAATATTCGTTCGCCGTTGAGAGGGCGGTTGGTACGTTGTGTTGTGGTTTAAAGCTAGGCTGCGATATCTGACCTAAAGTCTTCAGTCTTCGGTAGTAGAGTATTTCGCCCTTCACGTGGATAACGGGTGTTCGATTCCCTGTTGGGTGCTAATTTTTCTTTTTTCCCTAAAGCGGCGATTGGCACGTTGTGTTGTGGTTTACAGCTAAGTTGCGACACCTGCGCCTTACGCCCAAAGACATCCGATTTAAGTACAGTCCAAATTAGTCCCCCCCCACCCCCAACACTTCAGCGATCAAAAACTATTCGTTAATGACAAAAACTGTTAACTAAGAAGGCTTACGGTCAGTTTGGTTTGGGTCGACACGGATGCCAAGGTTAATTATACATCGTCACTTCGGACAGGGAGAGATGACGAGTGCGGGTTTTTATTTCTGCTATTTGTGAGTATAGTGTACATTTTTTTTTCATATATCACGGAATATTACTGTGGGTTCCATCACTGGTTAGGTGATGGAGTTTTATGTCGGGGACACACTTAAACTAAACAGTCCGCGGCGACAGCAGGTGGCGCCGACTCCTCTGGCTACAACGACCTGTACAGACAGTAGTGACCGTTTTGTGTTGTTGTGATGGTAGTGGTAGCAGTAGCACTGGTACTCGATGGTAGCTGTTACACTGGCCACATTTACTTCTCAGTACAGATTAATGCTATCCGTTTTTGTCTGGGTGGACACGGATGCCAAGCTCAATTTAACAACAATATTTCGTCGGGCGATGACTTCCCCATACTTCATAGAGGATGATATGATTGTCACGGGGAAGGGGATTTGGGGGGGGGGGGGGGGGGGGGGTCGAGGAGGTTGATGCCAGACACTGTTAACTGAGAGAGCTTAAAACATTATTTTACTTTTCTCATTTCTTAACTATTTCTTTTAACAATGTCGCCACATAATAATGTTTCAATCATTCGGAGAGGGAGATATAATTGGGCAGATGCTTGAGTCCTTGGTAGCGTAGTTGTCTATTTTGCGTGTTACACAGGTGACTGGTGATCAATGCCCCGCTGGGTGATAAAAAATTTTTTTTGCCTTTAACTAAGCGGCTGGCACGTTTTGTTGGGGTTTACAGCTAGGCTGCGATATCTACGTCTTCTTTCCGCTCGGTTTGGGGGTTTACAGCTAGCCTGCGATAGTGGCGACGAGATGTTGGTCATGTCACAGGTAATCTTTGTTCGCCTTTAAGAGGGCGGTTGGAACGTTGTGTTGTGGTTTACAGCTAGGATGCGATATCGGACCCAAACTCTTCAGTCTTAGGTAGTATATTTGTACATATTCCGCCCTTCACGTGGTTGACCGGTGTTCGATTACCCACTGGTAATTTTTTTTTCCCCAAGAGGGCTGTTGGTATGTTGTGTTATGGTTTACAACTAGGTTGAGATATCTGCACCTTTCGCCCAAAGACATCCGATTTCAGTAAAGCCCCATTTATCCTCCCCGCGACACTTCACTCGATAATAAACTATTCGTTGATGTCAGAAACTGTTGACTAAGACTGATTACAGTCCAGTTTACTTTGGGTGGACACGGATGCCAAGGTCATTTAACATTCGTCCCTTCGGAGAGGGGAGATGACAGGTGGGGGTTTTTATTTCCGCTATTTTTTGAGTAGAGAACGGACTATTACTGTGGGTTTAATCTCTGGTTAGGTGATGGCATTTTTTTTTTCTTTTTCTTTGGTGGGAACTCAATTACACTAAACAGTCCGTGGCGACATCATGCACCGCTAACTCCTCTGGCTACACCGACCTGCACAGACAGTAGTGACTGTTTTTTTTGTTTTTGTTCTGAAGGTGGTGGTGGTAGTGGTAGCAGTAGTACTGGTACTGGATGGGTGATGTGGTAGCTGTTACACTGGCCACATTTACTTCTCATTACATATTAATGCTATCCATCTGTCTTTGGGTGGATACGGATGCAAAGCTCAGTTTAGTTACAATATTTCGTTACATGATGACTTTCCCATCCTTTGGCGAGGATGATATGATAAGTGGGGGAGGGCTACTTTGAGAGCTACTTTATTTCTTTTCAGTTTCACCATTCGGGGCCACAGCAACGCGTGGCAGGGCACAGCTAGTAGATAATAATCTAATGGAGCAGGCCAAATTCTTCTTGATATTATGCGATTTGCAAAGAATTTCTTAGGGAAAAATTAATCAATGCTCTAGCTGTGTGGGCAGTTGCACCATTTTGAAACATTTGTTGAGTGCAAAGTATTACGCCAGCAGACTACAGCCATTCACTGCATATTGCTTCACGTTTGACTGTGGAGCACATTTTTTAATGACAATTGGCATAATTGTCCTACATGCAAAGTATAGTGAGACTTTAAAAACACCCCATATAATGCACAGTTGAATGTAACTTTAATAACACATACATGTGCATCCCCAGACCAGCAAAGTGTGCATTTCGTAATCATTTTTTACAGGCTTAACGTGTGCTGCTGTACTAATTGTTTGTATTGTACTAGATACTTTGTATGTAATTTACAGTTATAATTGACACCAACTACTAAACCCAGGTGATAAAGTGCTTCATTCTTTCTCTACCTGTACTGCATTTATTACTCATGTTGGCTTCTGTGGCTAAGGCATTGTGAAAGTGCTTCGTAATTCTGATATACTCAGTTTGATTCCAGCTGCGTACTGTTTTGCAGCAGGTCGCTTTTGATTAATTTCAACAATAGTATTGATAGCCGATTTATCAGACGCCTGAATTTTTTAGGTTTGAACAACGGATCAACATCATGACATACGGGTGGTAACCCATAAGTGCTCCGTTCTTCTTTTAGCTCGTCTGAGTCCGAAGAAGCTTAGCACAGTGCACAGACTCTGTAGCACTGGCGAGGATCCCGAATTACTTTGGGTAGATTTTTAAACTCCAAATATTGCCCGGGCAGCGCCGTTAGATTACTCTTTTCGATTTCCAACTGCCAAGGGATTTTTTACGTCCACAGCAATGCACACCTGCGTCCGATCTCACCACCCAGAGACAAGGGGGAATTACTAGAAGTCCAAGTCCATGTGAAAAAAATCCCAGCCTTTACCGGGGATTGAACCCAGAATCTCTAGCACTCGAGGCAGACACCATGCCTCGAGACCACACAGTCTGAATGTAAAAATGCCTAGTGAAACAGTCTACAAATTCTAGGGTTGGTTCTGCAATGTCTTGTAAAGGATTAGCAACTAACCTGTTGTTATTAACACTGCCTGCTAAGCCAAGTGATAAACTGCTTTATTTTTTTCTGTATTTATACTGCATGTATGTTTCATTTTACTTCATAAGCCAAGTGATAAACTGCTTTTTTTTCTGTATTTATACTGCATGTATGTTTACCTTTGCTTCCTAAGCGAAGTGATAAAGTGCTTTATTCTTTCTGTATTTATACTACATGTATGTTTTACACTATGTTCTAAGTGAGGTGATAGTGCTTTATTCTTTCTGTATTTATACTGCATGTATGTTTCACACTATGTTCTAAGTGAGGTGATAGTGCTTTATTCTTTCTGTATTTATACTACATGTATGTTTTACACTATGTTCTAAGTGAGGTGATAGTGCTTTATTCTTTCTGTATTTATACTGCATGTATGTTTTACACTATGTTCTAAGTGAGGTGATAGTGCTTTATTCTTTCTGTATTTATACTACATGTATGTTTTACACTATGTTCTAAGTGAGGTGATAGTGCTTTATTCTTTCTGTATTTATACTGCATGTATGTTTTACACTATGTTCTAAGTGAGGTGATAGTGCTTTATTCTTTCTGTATTTATACTGCATGTATGTTTCACACTATGTTCTAAGTGAGGTGATAGTGCTTTATTCTTTCTGTATTTATACTACATGTATGTTTTACACTATGTTCTAAGTGAGGTGATAGTGCTTTATTCTTTCTGTATTTATACTGCATGTATGTTTTACACTATGTTTTTAAGTGAGGTGATAGTGCTTTATTCTTTCTGTATTTATACTACATGTATGTTTTACGACTATGTTCTAAGTGAGGTGATAGTGCTTTATTCTTTCTGTATTTATACTGCATGTATGTTTTACACTATGTTCTAAGTGAGGTGATAGTGCTTTATTCTTTCTGTATTTATACTGCATGTATGTTTTACACTATGTTCTAAGTGAGGTGATAGTGCTTTTATTCTTTCTGTATTTTTATACTGCATGTATGTTTTACACTATGTTCTAAGTGAGGTGATAGTGCTTTATTCTTTCTGTATTTATACTACATGTATGTTTTACACTATGTTCTAAGTGAGGTGATAGTGCTTTATTCTTTCTGTATTTATACTGCATGTATGTTTTACACTATGTTCTAAGTGAGGTGATAGTGCTTTATTCTTTCTGTATTTATACTGCATGTATGTTTTACACTATGTTCTAAGTGAGGTGATAGTGCTTTATTCTTTCTGTATTTATACTGCATGTATGTTTCACACTATGTTCTAAGTGAGGTGATATAAAGTTATTTATTAGTTTTATGTATTAATATTGCATTTATTATTCACTCTATCTCCTAAGCCATGTGATGATAGTTCTGCTTAACTCTTTGAGTCCCAAATAATCGTTACTTATAACTCTACCAGGACCAAGGAGTTAAACTTAACAGCAATATTTGTTTAGGTCTGAAGAAGTTCAACAGTGACATTATGGAACAGGAGTATTTAAACTAATAATTTGGATTCAAAGGGTTAATATAACATCTGTGTGTAAAAGAAGACAAGAAAATTATATGATTTTTAGAATGACCTGGAAATCCACGATGAATTGTTTAGTAAGTAAAAAGGTAAAGTAAAGGTCCCTTTTCCACGCCTTGAGGCATATAGGGCTAGACCTGTTATCTTACAGACCAATCGGTACAAGATGGGTGATGTGGTCATAATCACGCCGGCTACCTTCACTTCCCTGGACTGCACCCGGTACCCACTTAAGGCTGGGTCGACCTGGGAGTCAAAGTCATTTTTTTTAAAAAGTCTGGCTCCGCCAGGGAGCGAATCCACGACTTTCCGATCCGCACGCGAGAGTCTAGCCGCGATGCTACGGTGACTCCCAATTGTTTAGTACTGAAGCGTTAATTTTTTAAAATAATCGGTGACCAAAAATAATTAGTTAGCCGGTTACTCTGGAAACATAGGATGCCCCCAATATAACTGTTATATTTGTCTCAACAGGTTTTTTTTTGTTTTTTGTTGTTGTTGATTTGTTTCTGTTATTCACATTCAGATAGTGGCTCTTTGAGTCCTGAGAGTCAGTCTCATGCTAATAATTTATTTACTTTTTCTATGTTTATAATAAACTGATTATTCACAGTACATGACATATCATCAGATTTCATCTCCGCAATGAAGTTTGGCTGCAATGATGCTCCAAGTGAAGGTTGGCTGCTTTATAGTCTCCGCAATGAAGTTTGGCTGCAATGATGCTCCAAGTGAAAGTTGGCTGCAATGGTGCTCCATAATGAAGGTTGGTTGCAATTACTCTGCCAGTGAAGTTTGGCTGCAATGATTCTCCTAGTGAAGGTTGGCTACAATAATGCTTTTTAATAAAGGTTGGCTGCAATGATTCTTCCAATGAAGGTTGGCTGCAGTGGTGCTGTATAGTGAAGGTTGGCTGCAATGGTGCTGCATAGTGAAGGTTGGCTGCAATGATTCTTCCTGTGAAGGTTGCCTGCAATGATTCTTCCAGAGGAGGTTGGCTGCAATAGTGATGTAGTAAAGATTGGCTGCAATGGCTGCATAGTAAAGGTTGGCTACAATGGCTGCATAGTAAAGGTTGGCTGCAATGATTTTTCCAGTGAAGGTTGGCTGCAATGATTCTTCCAGTGAAGGTTGGCTGCAATGGTGATGTAGTAAAGGTTGGCTGCTATGATTCTTCCAATGGAGGTTGGCTACGATAATGCTTTTTAATGAAGGTTGGCTGCAATGATTCTTCCAATGAAGGTTGGCTGCAATGATGCTGTATAGTAAAGGTTGGCTGCAATGAATCTCTCAATAAAAGTTGACTGCAATGGTGCTCTGTAATGAAGATTGGCTGCAATGGTGCTGCTTAATGAAGACTGACTGCAGTAGTGCTATAAGGAATGTTAGGAACCTATAAACGTATGTGATTCCTCCAAAGAGATAATCAAGGTTGGCTGCAGTGATGCTCAATATTAAAGGTGGCTGCTGATTAATGAAGTTTGGCTGCAGTGGTGCTCAATAATGAAGGTTGGTTGCAGTTGGTGCCCTCTATAACTGCTTTCTTCCAATAAAGGTTGGCTGCAATGGTAGCTCTAAGGTTGCTGCAGTGGTGCTTTGAAAAGGTTGGTGCAAGCTCTATAATGAAGGTTCACTGAGATTCTTCCAAAACTGGCTGCAATGCTGCTCTAGAATGAATTGGGCAATGGTGACGTCTAAAGGTTGGCTGCAATGGTGCACTATAATGAAGGTTGGCTGCAGTGGTGCTCTATAATGAAGGTTGGCTGCAATGGTGCTCTATAATGAAGGTTGGCTGCAGTGGTGCTTTGAAATGAAGGTTGGCTGCAATGGTGCTCTATAATGAAGGTTCACTGCAATGATTCTTCCAATAAAGGTTGGCTGCAATGCTGCTCTATAATGAAGGTTGGCTGCAGTGGTGCTCTATAATGAAGGTTGGCTGCAATGGTGCACTATAACGAAGGCTGGCTGCAACAATTCTCCCAGTGAAGGCTGACGGCAAGGATTCTCGCAGTGAAGGTTGGCTTATACTGATTCTCCTATCACTTTCGCTATGGTTGTGCATTCTTTCTGACTATTGTTTATCCATTTCTTGATAGTATCATCCTCCCACCTGTATCACTATTCACCCCCGGTTTACCTGCCTTCATTTTTTTTAAATCTATCGGGGTTGTTATAATATGGCATATAATAATGTTTCTTCTTTTTACTGCGTTCCCTCTCGAAAGGGTGGTTGGCATGTTGTGTTATGGTTTATGGTTAGGCTGCGATATCTGAGCCGTTCTGCTCAACACATTTGATTTGCATCAAATCCCTAATTAGAAGTCTTTTATGACATGTTTGTTAGGGGGAAGTGGGTCTTTTATCCTCCCTCCACCCCTCAAACAAACAAAAACACTCGTGCTGAGTGGTCTCGATGTATAGTGTCCGCTGCAAGTGATGGAGGTCCAAGGTACAAGCCCCGGTGAAGGCTGGGATTTTTTCACGTGAACTTCTAGTAATTTCCCCTGGTCTTTGTGTGAGTAAGACCAGACGCCCGTCTGTATTGTTCCGCACATTTAAAAAAATCCCTAGGCAATTGGAAATCGAAAAAAAGTAACCTACCGGCTCTTGCCGGGCAAAATTTGGAGTTAAAAATCTACCCAAAGTATTTCAGGATCCTCGCCGGTGCAACGGAGTTCATGCACTGCACTGAGATTCTTCAGACTCAGACTTGAGTTAGGAGTAGAACGGAGCGTTTAAAGGCTACACCCTTATGCCATAATGTTGATGCGTTGAATAAGCATAAACTTTTAAGACACTGGAATCCACATGGGGAACATATAATAATGAAGATCTGTGAACTACTTACCAGTCGACCTTTTACGACATGCTTGTTATGTGGTGCGTAGGACTGTTACCGCACCTCCCCCGCCCTGCCCCCCCCCTCCCTGCCCCCCCCCCCTCCCCAATATTTTAGGGTACCGAAATCCACATGGGAAACTAATGATAATAATGATGAAGATTTGGGAACTACTTACCAGTCGACCTTTTAGGACATGCTTGTTATGGTGCAGTGGGTCTGTTATTCCCCGCCCCCCCCCCCCCCCCCCCCACCCCAATAATTTAGGCCCCAGAATCCACATGGGGAACATGGAAACGATGATAAAGATTCGTGAACCACTAACCCGTTTGTCAAGTTCTGAATAATCGAGCGCGTACCACGGCATCTTGGAGAAGTACTGAGTGAAGGACTCCTGGCTGTAGTCAAAACTGATGAAGACAACTTCAAACTTCCGGTCACTGGTCTTGAGTTCATCGTAGAGCAGCGCTAACTTTGGCGTCAGTGTCCGACACGGGGGGCACCAGTTGGCAGCAAAGTAGAGGCCTAGGGGGAGAAATAGTGTTGCTTTCCTAATGACGTTAAGATGTCGATGGGAAGAGAACGAGAGACAAAGGTAAATAGGTTGATTGGGCGCGCCGACTTAGATAAAAACATTAGAGGCTCCTAAATGGGCTTACTCCTAGTTTAATGCATAAGTATGATGATAATGACAATAATAGTGTAATAATATTGTTGGAAATGGTAAAAAAAGGTTAGTTCGACGTTAGTCTCCCCAAATAGAGTAGGTCACTTTTCATTCACAAGTTTTCACAAGGGTTACGGTGTGTCCCGCTCTGTTGTTTGGTTTCTGCGATGTCTTGCATTTATGTTTTCATTCCGAGAAAGAGAATGCCTGTGACATAGGCTGCAGCACTCTCTAGGGAAGTTGTGTTATACACAGTTTCTCCATGTTTGTGCAGTATTAAAAGCGCTGTCGTGCTGAAAAATACAACACGCGATATCAGAGGCATAGTGGAACACCCCCGTAACCGTTTGCGAAGGGCACAGGGCTCAGGAAATATCAATCAAAAGTTAGCTAGTGTGTATATGGGGGAGGCTGGGGAGACTAACGTCGAACTAACCAAAAATTAATATTACATTTTAAATAAATTGAACACTTTTAAAGGAAAATCTATGTATTGTCAAATGGGGCTGCTTTCCCTCCCTATAGAAATGTAGGGGAGGGGAGCCCTGGAAGCGGTGTAGCGGCTAAACACTCACCTGTTGGTAGGAAGGTCGTGGGTTCAGGTACCTGAAGAAGCCGGACTATTTTTTTTTAAATGACCTTGGCTCCCAGGTCGACCCAGCTTCAAGTGTGCATCAGACACCGTCCTAAGAAGTAAAGGGCGGTCGGAGTGATGCTGACCACATCAATCATCGAGTGCCGATTCGTCTATAAAATATAGGTCGATCCCTATATGACCAATAGGCCAGGGAGCTAGTAAAGGGGCCCCTTAAATATGTGTGGTTGCACCGTGCTGTATTGCTGGTTGCATTCCCACTCATCATCATCAAGTGCCTTGCCAGCTGGCGTAGGCGTTCATGCATCTACATAGATCTCGGTTTTTGGTGTTTTGGATCAATTCTTCCATGCCACTGTCTGAAGCCATCCACCATCATTTCTCTTGGTCTGTCTCTGCCTCTTCTGCTAGTGATCTTTCCAGCCTGTCACTTTATTTCCCAGTGCTCTTTTCTCATCACATGACCAAAGAACTTTGTTTTTCTCCATCATATTGTATCTTACGTAATAAATAGCTCTCATTAAACATTAGAAAAGGAGGCACTGAAATGTTTTATCAGCCTGTTTTGTTGACTAGCAGTGAGTCTTGGAATGTGAGCAAACAAATTCAGAAGAGTTTGGAGACAACTGAGATGTGGTTCTTGAGAAAAATGTTGCGAATAACTGGGACTTCCAGAATAACTAACAATGATTGTCTGGAGATGGCTAATTCTTCTTCTTCAGCGTTCCGCGCCCTTGAGGTTCATTGCTGCAGATATCCCCCGCGTCCATTCATCTTTCTGGTTAGCCTTCTCTTTCTGTTTGGTGACACCAAGTGTTTGCAGGTCTGTCTGACATTATCTCTCCATAGTCTTCTTGAATTTTCATCGACTCATTCTTTCAGTAAGCCCCAACCATTTCAGTCTATTGGCCCTCAAGATGCTAGTGATCAGTGGTGATTTAAACAGATTATGAATTTCGCTGTTGCTTCTCACTCTCAATTCACCGCTGTTTGCATCTCTGATGGGCAAATGCTCCACTTTGCGTGAGGTTCATAATATACCAGGACTATGACGGTAAGACTGGACTCTCAAGGATGCCTAATAACAGGTGAGATACGACTCTTATGACTGCACTGAGGAGAAGGAAGGTTAGTCCCATGGCTGGTGATGGGTTAGCAGGCTGTTCCTGTATTCACGTCGGTTTGCTCTCCCGACTGGCTCATGGACCCTCAAGAACCATGCGCAGTTATGGCCCCAGGACTGCCACAGGGGATCCGCCATCTCGCTTATGCCTTTAACGTGGTATACGAGCAAGCTTGCAAGCTAGAAGCACCAGGAGTTGGAAGGATACTGAGCTTTTTGCGATGATATACTTTACATATAGGCAGGGGGAAGAGAGGGAACAACAGCGCCGGGAGCTACAAGCGACAGTAGGCAAGTGACTGATGGTGCAAATAAGGCTGTCGTCCGCACCGAAAGGCGTCTGTTTTGGGTGTTCTCTGGACATCAGAATCGTTAAAACTAATGTCCCTAAGTCTCACGATGATGGTAGTAAGCGTTCAACAGAGAAGCCAACTGAGTCTTCTGGGAATTACATTTGACCAGGAGCCTGTCCTTTAATGACGCTATGTGTGGAGAGTGTTGTGACAAGATGCCTAAAAAGGACTTAGTGCACTTAAGACTGTGTCTGCAATTGACATAGCAGCGAGAATGCTTGTTCCCACTATATCAGCCACCGGTCTCTAATCAGTGGTTGTTATGGCCATGGGATCTGCTTAACGTCTCAAAGCGTCATAGATGGACATAACCTAAGAGCGCATACAGAACGCGGTATTCAGGTCATTTCTGGGTTGCACAAGAAACACCCCAGTGGTGTATGCGATAACATCCTTGGTTTGGCCGAGGTTGCAGTAGGTCACAGAAGTACTGGGCATGCGAAGTCCATATCTCGGGTAGGCTGCAAGACCAGACACCTTCGCGCATGAAGGCTCTGGGTGGCAGTTTGAGGGTTCGCGGCTGATAAGGAGGGAGGTCCTGGATGGCTCAGACAGAAAGAGCACAGTCACATATTTTGCATCGCTTGAGAACATTAGGCGAGGAGAGGAGGGTCAAGTGAAAGCTTTTGACCTGACAGTCCAGACTTATGTAGATCATAATCACGCGTAGCCGGAGAATGCAGAGGCTGGCCGGTTAGTTCCACGGAGAGTGGAATTGCAGGCAATTATTTTCTAAATAATGCTCGCTCGGAGTGATTTGATCATTTACAACAGACTGGTCATTGTCAGAGGCAAAAGACTTGGGCTTCTTGAGCAAAAGTTAATGTCGAAGTTGGTGCTGGAGAGCATAGACATATGACTACCACAAACTCCATCTTAAAAATGGAGTTGAGCGGTCACTGTGCTTTCCGCTTGCTAGAGAACAGCGACAAACACACACATCGTGATTGTAACTGACTCAGAAAGCAGTGCTCAGGAAGAACAGGCGATGCTTACGCTGTCAGAGTGGCATGCTTTGTTGGCATGAGGACACGGTGGGGTATTTTCTGGATTTTTTCACCGGGCATCCTGTCGTGTTTGGGAAATGAAGAGGCGACTAGACTGCTGGCTCTACAGCCACTGGTGGAATACTGATACACATGATAAGGCAGACTAGTTAGTGGCTTTGGGTAGTAGCCCTGTTACAGTTCGAGGAGCAGATGGATCACCACAGTCTGGTGAGACTGATGCAGGGGGGAGTGACGAGAGGTTCTGGCAGATGCTCGAGGCTCAGAGGAAAGGCAAGACGGACGTTTAATCAGAATGCTACTGGCACCTTTAGTATCGGAACTCTTCGCTGGCTGCTGAAGATGGGAACGGAGCGCTTATAGGAATGCCCCGAGTGCTGTGATGTCGGTTCTTGAATCAAATCAAATCAAATTATGGGTCCAAAGATTCGTCGTAAAACTATTTTTGAAAATCTGAAATAAGGCTTTATTTCTTTTAGTTGTGGAAAAAGGCTAATGGAAGTAGAACATTATAAACAACAATGAGAAGGGAACATTTCCACTGGAAAAACAAAATCCAGAGAAGCCGCTGACTTGTGGTTTCAGAGACAAGTCGGATGTCTCGGCCGAAAGACGCTAGTTTCGCAGTTGTGTTACAAACGCACAGTGCATTTACATTTCGGGTGAATGCAAGCGGAGAACGTAACTCCACTTAGTAGTAGTGGTATTTTTCTTATTCTTCGTGTTCACCAGCTGTAAACTCTGGAGGATGATTCTGGTTGTTCCTCCACTGCTGGACTGCAATCCTGTTCCAGGACCTGAGTGTTGCATGTGCATCCGTTTTACAGATATGATTTGTATGCAGACTGCTGGATTTAATGTAGTTGTAGTGTTGGTGATAACAATTATATTTCCTATTGTTTATCTGGAGATCCAGTCTGAAAGACAGACACCCAGTAACTCTTACACACACATAAATATATATATATACATATATATATATTTAGAGAGAAAGAGAGAGAGAGAGAGCGAGAGAGAGAGAGAGAGAGATGCACGCACAATAACTGGTATTGAGTGTATATATGCAAGCGCTGGTTTTTACAGAAAATTTTAATGTAACAACTTATGATGGATGAGTGGGTTTCTTGAAGCGCTGGCGGGGATAAATAGAGAAAATTCCAGGAAAAAAGAGGAAAACAGTAATCGGACAACCTTCTGGGTCATGTCTTAAAGGGATTACTATAGCTGTAAAGATCATTTTCAGACACCCATGGAGGATAAGCTGCCTGCTGCCACTCCAGTTCATCGCAAGTAAACAACATCAGAGGCTCGCAACGTTCATGGATAAACACTAGGGACCGGAGACTCCATTATTACATTTCTCAGGTTTCTGGGAGAAATCAATTGGCTGGCGGAAAGGCAGACCTGAACGTGATAATCATGTTGGAGGTTACCGCTGGAATAATTCGTATGGAAATCTAAACATACACTGACGCGGAATAGAAGTACAAGGTTCATTGATCTGATCAAAGGAACGTAGTAGTCGTGCACTTTCTTTTCCTCCTACTGCTTTTATTTATTCTTTCCAAGTGGGTTCGGGGCCCCATTGTAGGGGAAAACAGAAACAGACCCACTGTCTCCACAACAAGCATGTCGTAAGAGTCGACTATTTTTTTAAAAGTCGCAGTGCATCTGCCTGAGAGGCAAGAAACAAACATGTCTGCATACAAATAAGTCAGATCAGTAAAACAGATTTCTAAAGCCCAGATCTGGATGAACAGTCACAACTTTCCACCGGAGTTTACACCCAGTGAACGCGTAGAAATATACAGTTTTATTTATCCTCTTTTCTGCCTTCCTTTTGATCTTCTATTTCTTTGCATGTTTCTACATTCCTCTACAAACAAAAGTATTCAATGCTAAACCAATTCATAGGAAAACAGGATACTATGTAGCAATATGGACGCCCTAGTATCATTGTTTTACACAGTTGAGCAGGTTTTCTCGAAGTTGCCCCCGTTGCATTCTTACCACAGAGAACAATGTTATACAGATACAACGGTAACAGGGCCAGAGGTCGACTACGCAGACGATGGATCGCACACATATCAGAGACGCTGAAAAGTACTATATGCAAAGCGAACAAAAGGGCCCATTCCAGAGATCTCTTCCTTCTATGACGCTACGAGGCGTTCTAGGAGATTTGAAAAAACAAAAGAAGAAGTGTGGGCGCGCTTGTGTGTGTGAACAAAATCAGCAAATTTATTTATATTTAGTTGTAATAAATATTTCCCAGCCCTCGCTTATGTGTGTCTGTCTGTCTGTATGTATGTATGTGTGTGTGCATGTGTGTGTATGTATGTATGTATGTATGTATGTATGTATGTATGTATGTATGTATGTATGTATGTATGTATGTATGTATGTATGTATGTATGTATGTATGTATGTATGTATGTATGTATGTATGTATGTATGTATGTATGTATGTATGTATGTATGTATGTATGTATGTATGTATGTATGTATGTATGTATGTATGTATGTATGTATGTATGTGTATGTATGTATGTATGTATGTATGTATGTATGTATGTATGTATGTATGTATGTATGTATGTATATGTATGTATGTATGTATGTATGTATGTATGTATGTATGTATGTATGTATGTATGTATGTAGGTATGTATGTAGGTAGGTAGGTAGGTAGGTAGGTAGGTAGGTAGGTAGGTAGGTAGGTAGGTAGGTAGGTAGGTAGGTAGGTAGGTAGGTAGGTAGGTAGGTAGGTAGGTAGGTAGGTAGGTAGGTAGGTAGGTAGGTAGGTAGGTAGGTAGGTAGGTAGGTAGGTAGGTAGGTAGGTAGGTAGGTAGGTAGGTAGGTAGGTAGGTAGGTAGGTAGGTAGGTAGGTAGGTAGGTAGGTAGGTAGGTAGGTAGGTAGGTAGGTAGGTAGGTAGGTAGGTAGGTAGGTAGGTAGGTAGGTAGGTAGGTAGGTAGGTAGGTAGGTAGGTAGGTAGGTAGGTAGGTAGGTAGGTAGGTAGGTAGGTAGGTAGGTAGGTAGGTATGTATGTATGTATGTATGTATGTAATTGTATGTGTGTCGTGTGTGTGTATGTGTGTGTGTCTGTGTGTGTCTGTCTGTCTGTGTGTCTGTGCGTGTGTATGTCTGTCTGTGTGTGTGTCTGTGTGTGTGTCTGTGTGTGTGTCTGTGTGTGTGTGTCTGTGTGTGTATGTCTGTGTGTGTGTGTCTGTGTGTGTGTGGCTGTGTGTGTTTGTCTGTGTGTGTGTGTGTCTGTGGGTGTCTATGTGTGTGTGTGTGTGTGAAATAACATGAAACAGAAAAAGAGAACCTCTGTAAATGTTTGTTTGGGAGGAGCGTGGGCAGGGCGTTTAGTCTCCTTGACACGGGTTTTGTATATTTAGTGTTGAGGGCGGGGGAGGGAAGGGGGCGTTTAGTCTCCTTGACACGGGTTTTGTATGTTTAGTGTTGGGAGAAGGGGAGGGGCGTTTAGTCCCCCTTGACACGGGTTTTGTATGTTTAGTGTTGGGGGGGGGGGGCGTTTAGTCTTCTTGACACTGGTTTTGGATGTTTAGTGTGGGGGGGGGGGGGGGGGCAGGGCGTTCAGTCTCCTTGACACGGGTTTTGTATGTTTAGTGTTGGGGGGGGGGGGCGTTTAGTCTCCTTGACACGGGTTTTGTATATGTTTAGTGTTGGGGGGGGCGTTAGGGGGGGGGCGTTTAGTCTCCTTGACACGGGTTTTGTATGTTTAGTGTTGGGGCGAGGGGCAGGGCGTTTAGTCTCATTGACACGGGTTTTGTATTTTTAGTGTTTTGTGAGGGGGGGGGGCAGGGCGTTTAGTCTCCTTGACACGGGTTTTGTATGTTTAGTGTTGGGAAGGGGGGACCCTGCTAATTATTTTGGTTTCTAACAAGTGTAGAAAATTATAAGGAAGAGAAGAAAAAGGGTAAGAAAAAACAAATAGCTGATGTCAGCTTTACAAAATCAATTACAATGAACAAACAAAAGAAGCTGCGGCGATTAGCCGTCATCAGCAAACAAAGACAACACAGCACACACACACACACACACACACACACAAATATACCCTAACTATGAACCGACTAATAGGAAACGGTGGATGGTGGCATAGATGGATAGCTGGGTTGATGGAATGATGGATAGCTTTATTAATGGATGAATGCAATGGTAGATGGAAAGATTGATCGGTCTATATATATATATATATATATATATATATATATATATATATATATATATATATATGCTAACATATGAAATCAGGTAAACATGCTCCAACCACTCTTCCATTCATATAACCATTCACATTACCATCCACTCTTCCATTCACACTACCATCCACCCTACCATCCACTCTTCCATTCACACTACCATCCACCCTACCACCCACTCTTCCATCCACCCTACCATCCACTCTCCCATTCACGCTACCATCCACCCTACCATCCACTCTCCCATTCACACTACCATCCACCCTACCATCCACTCTCCCATTCACGCTACCATCCACTCTCCCATTCATCCTACCACCCACTCTTCCATTCACCCTACCATCCACTCTCCCATTCACGCTACCACCCACTCTTCCATTCACCCTGCCATCCACTCTGCCATTCACGCTACCATCCACCCTACCATCCACTTTTCCATTCACGCTACCATTCACCCTACCACCCACTCTTTCATTCACCCTACCATCCCCTCTTCCAGTCACCCTACCATCCACTCTTCCATTCACCCTACTATCCACTCTTCCATTCACGCTACCATCCACCCTACCATCTACTATTCCATTTACGCTACCATCCATCCTACCATCCACTTTTCTATTCACGTTACCATCCACCCTACCACCCACTCTTCCATTTACCCTACCATCCACCCTACCATCCACTCATCTATTCACGTTACCATCCACCCTACCATCCACTCTTCCATTCACCCTACCATCCACTCTTCCATTCACCCTACCATCCACTCTTCCATTAACCCTACCATCCACTCTTCCATTAACCCTACCGTCCACTCTTCCATTCACCCTACCATTCCCTCTTCCATTAACCCTACCATCCACTCTTCCATTCACCCTACCATCCACTTATGTTATTCGTTCATCTATTCATCCATCGCTGCCTATCATCCTTGTTTCGCAGTCTCAAATGTAATATATTCCAGTTTTACGCTTGGGTTTGACTGATACTTTATACACCAATCATCCTTACTGTCTCTATTTGATAGCTGACAGTAGAAGAGAAGCATCGTATCACGAGACACCTGTTTGTCTGATTTCATATATTAGCTTCAATATATGCCGATCCATAAGGGGTTGAGGAAGTGGGGGGAAAGGGGGGGGGGGGGGGCTCTAAAGGGATCCAAGCACACGGGTTGTGGCGCCTTGAATGTCTAGGTTTTTAACCCCACCCTCCACTTTTTCCCCGTTATTAAAAAAAAAAAAAATCGGAACTCTTCTAGAAACAAAATGCTGGCACTGCGTGCTGTTGTTGCATTCTGCCCAAAAAAAAAGGGGGATGGGGGGAGGGGGGGGGGTTGCAGTAACAACTTTGTAAATCACGAAAGGTTGAAGTGTCACCTTTTAAAGCAAGCCATAACCGACTGAAATAACAAGATTAAAAGAGTTAAAACAAAAATTACAAGATAAGAAACCCAAAGGAGCAGACCAGAAATACGTATAAACGAGATTTCGCCACTATCTCACCTAGGACACCGTTTTCCACAGCAAACGATTTGGGATTGACCGTTAGTCCACTTGCATTTTTGACTGAAGTCCCCAGCAGCTGCTCCAAAGGATGAAGTGCTATCTTTGGTTTCGCCGCAGCTGTTTTCATGTTGCTGTTATCTTGAGTGTCCGCCTGTGTGTTTTTAACTGTAGAAGCATCTATACTGGATACCCTGCTCTTGTGTTTCTTGGACGAGCTGGGGTCCTGTGCCTTTGTCGGTTTGGACATTTTCTGTCTGTGGGTGGTTTGGTGGGATGGGACTGGGAGGAAATGAAAAGGACGTGATGTAATTGTACGCCCTGAGACATTTGAAAATACAGAACCGGAAATGCGTCAACTTAAATATCAAAAAGATGTGTACTGTGTCATTTTTTATCCAGCTTTTTATACTTTTGTCTTGTACGTCATACACAGAAAGGCTAATTGTTGCAGAATTCGGTGCTTTATTAATAATATTAATAATATCCTACCCTAAACAGGGGAAATCCACAGGTCACGGGACAGTCTAATATTTCAGGTGGTGGTAGAGAGCAGTGTTGCCACTTTGGATCTTTTGTATCCAAATTTAGATCTTTTTCATTGCGTTTAGATCCTGTTTTTGACGTTTAGATACTAAATATTTTTCTAGATTCTTTTCATATAGAGTTAGATATTTTATAGATTTTTTTTTCTTTTAGTGTCATTTTAATAATTATTGAGTAAAATATTTACTAAAATATTTTTGTTTTGGTCTGGCACGTACATTGTGGCAACTGCCATTACTTAAACTTTGAACTCTCACTGGGGTCAACACTCAAATATCTGACAACCCCGGTGCTGATTAATCGAAATCGCGCGTAAAGCATACTAACTTTGTTTCAACCGTATCCTCACTGTGTTGTGAAGTATAGCTGTGATGCTGACTCTGTGTTTCTTTTTCATGTGATTTTTAAAAAATAATTGCTCACCTTCTTGTGTGGCTTTCACTTTGAAAAAAAACCTTTCAACATGCCAAAAGTAAAGAATGAGCAAAAATTTCGGAAAGAGTATTTGCATGATGACAAAATTAAAGACTGGGTGATGGCAGTTCCTGGGGATATAACCAAGGCTCGTTGTAATCACTGCAGGTGTGAAATTAAAGCGAAAATACAAGACTTAAAGAAGCATGCAGAGACTAACAAGCATAAAACTGCAGTTCCATTCAAAGATATTACACCGCTGACATCTATTTTCAGAACTACACTGATAAATGAATCATCAAAAGTTGAAGGGTCGGTCGCAATGTTTTTAAGTTGCCATTGTGCAATTTCAAACTGTGACCATTTGATTGATTTGTTTAAAAACACAATTTCTGACAGTAAAGTTATGGATGATGTGAAAATGCATCGCAGCAAGTGTACACATATTATAAGAAATACTTTATTTTCTCACTTCGAAAAATATTTGATCAGTGATATTTCTACAAATAAATATAGTTTATTATTAGACGAATCCAATGATATTTCGGTACTGAAAGTGCTTGGTGTGTGTATTATATATTACAGCAACAATACAGACAAAGTAGTTTCTACATATCTTGGACTAGTTCAATTGGAAAAGTGTGATGCAGAAAGTATAGTTCAAGAACTAAAGAACCTTTTAATCAGCAAACACTTAGACTTGACAAATTTGGTTGCAATTGGTACCGATAATGCCTCAGTGATGGTTGGCATAAACAATGGCGTTTATGCCAAGTTGAAGAAAGCTATCCCATCGTTAATACTTATAAAATGTATGTGTCATTCATTGCAGCTAGCATTATCACATGCTTCTTCTGAATGTTTACCAAGGAATTTGGAATACCTTATTGCTGAAACACATAACTGGTTTTCAAAATCATTTGTCAGACAACAGCAATACAATGCATTGTATTCAGCCTTAAATAATGGTTCCACAACACTGAAAATTCTGTCAGATTGCAAAACCAGGTGGTTATCAATACAACCAGCTGTTGAAAAAATGTTGCATTCCTTCTCTTTTTACAACCTATTCTAATGGAAGTGCAAAAAGTTAATAAACTGTTCGAATCTAAACATATTGATAAAGTTAAATTACTTGACGATCTCACTTTGCTATTTTGCTCAGTTGGTAAAAGACTGGTGTTGCCAACTTCAAAAGTTGATTTGCTCACTTGCACTATAGAGAGCTATTTGGCTCCTAAGCCATACCTTGGATATCAAATTGAATCAAAAATTGATGATTTAAAAACAAAAGGACTGTTAACAGAGAATGAAGAGAAGAACTTGAGAAAACGCTGTCAAGATTTCCTTATCTCATTGCTCAAGCAACTAAAGCAGAGACTTCCTGAAAATCTAGATGTTTTGAAAAATATATCACTCTTTTCTGTGAGCAACATACTTCAGCCAGTAAAGGACATACCTAAATATTGTAAAGTTATGAAATTTTTAGGGGCTACTGACAATAGTGTCGCGGAAGCAGAATATCAGTTAACCAAAATAAACTTAGTTGAATGGACAAACAAAACAGAAACTGAAGCGTTTTGGAGTGAAGTGAGACAATTTAAAGATGCCTCATCAAACAGTCCATTCTGTAAACTTTCGTCTTCTTTTCCCCCTTCCTTTTTTCTTCTTCTTTTTTCTTCTTCTTCTTTTTTCTTCTTCTTCTTTTTTCTTCTCTTTTTCTTTTCTTCCCTTTTTCTTCTTTTCTTCTTTTTTCTTTTTCTTTCTTCTTCTTTCTTCTTTTTCTTTTTTTTGCTTTTAAAAAACAAAATCTGAAGTTTGGAAGAAAAAGCCAAAGTCTGAAGGGCGAACGACCGAACTTTTGCCTGGAGTTTA